TATCGCTTCCCTGCATATATTAAACCACCATCGGCAAACTTGAGCTTGGTTTTCTGTGCTGCCGAATACACTGCAAGGCTAGTCAAAGCCTTTATGGCATAATTATGGCTATGTACCCGGTTGTTAGCACATAGCCGCTTTATTGTTTTAATACATTTTTAATAATTAACAAGAATTAATAACTATATAATATTTAGCTAAATCTCTTGCGTCCAATTTCTTGACGTGCACTGCAGCCCTCGTGGAATAGGAAAGGAAAGATGGCAAAGAGATGGCCCGCTTCACCACTGATAAATATACCGAACCATCCAATCACGTGACTATACTTAAATTAACTTGCGCGCGCAAATACCCTATTTCGCATAATTAATTTCGACTATAAATTATTCCGGGAAGCAATAAAAACTCTTATCGCTGTGGCAATAAGTTCCTGTCTACAGATAAGTTCTTATCTTAATTATTCATACATATATACTGTATATATATATATATATATATATATATATATATATATATATATATATATATATATATATATATATATATATATATATATATATATATATATATATATATATATATATATATATATATATATATGAATGGGTGTGAGGTACCATGTCTGGATAGTGTATGAACTTGGCTATAAGATTTCTTCAGACATAAAAATACACAAAGTATATTTTCCAAACGTTTCGCCTTTTACGGCTTCTTCAGTGGAATGTTTTTTTACAATAATATTTCCTTCTATTTATATGAAACTAATTAAAATACTAAATTTACAATGTGTATGCTAATGTATATAAAAATATGCAAAACATGCAATTGATTTATTGTCCTATAGTTTAAAATACTATATAATGTTAATAGATAAAAAAAAAAAACACATATATATATATATATATATATATATATATATATATATATATATATATATATATATATATATATATATATATATATCTCGCTGCTTAGCAATGGCTTCGTTAATTAAATACCATGCACCTATACACCATAAATCGGTCGTGTGCCCGATTCAATCTTTATATTGAAAACCTGATGTATACAAAACGAGTAGTACCAAAAAATTTGAAGCAATTACTTGCAAAAAATTGGATTGGTTCTTTTTTACATACTTGCATGTCGATATCAATGAAGTACATTTGTTCAAATATATTGTCGAACAATCTTGTTGGCTCTATCCGCCATTGCCCTTGGTATTTCATTCACGTCCTCCCAGTCGGTATCCCTACGATTATTAAATTATGTTTAGGTTTTTGGTCGTCCTATTCTTCTTTCCATTTGTTCTAATTGTTGGTTCCCAGAGTGCACGGTGGATCACGCGGTGGATCATGTGTACAGTTATTAGCATAGGAATAATAGATGCATTTCGATGCAACTAATATAGATTATGGATGAAAATTTCTGGCAACGGGAATCTAGGAGAGTCAGATCGAGTGCCAGTGACCTTATAAATCAGCAATTATGTTAAGGTAAAAATTTGATTGAAAGAAGATATATGTAGAGAAGATCCAATTTTATGTCTATGAATATGAGCTAAGTCTGCATGAATTGTATTGTATTGTTATCAGTTCTTGGAAGAGCATCAACAATTGAATTTGCTGAAGTAAGCGAATTATTTTTTGGTTTGTGGAGAACACCAGGTTTATATTGATTGCTGCAAAACATTCGATCCGTAAGCCTGCATCTTTTATCAGTGTTAATAATATGATGATAATACGAGCTAGCTTATGGTTCGAAAGCTTTGCTATAATAAGAACCGTGAAATTCTGTAGAAACCAAAACAAATATTATATCATTGCCATGCAAACATACAAAGAACTTAGTCAGCGAATTGTCGAAATAATGCAGCTGCATTATGCAACAGCAGGGGGCCGTGAGCGGAGAGGTGAGGCCTGGGACCGAGGATGCAGCAACAGCAAGGATAAAATGATGCAATGTGTGCTGTAAATGAAAGGTAAAGACTCGTATCTGTCTCTCAACTTACGTATAACCGTATTTTTCAATATCATATATTGCAATTTCGCTTTGCTTGAAAGGATTTTCTCTTGGAAGAACTGTTCACGATAAACACTGTCATGTGACTGTTCCAACAGTCCATGTGCGCGGTATTGTTTCAATGCATTTTATTCTCATTCATGCATGCTAGGAAATCTCTGACACTATTGAGTATTTAATATTCGCCATCCTTAAGCGTGATCAACAGTCTTAGCACATTTAGTGGATTTTGTACAATAATCAGGTACGTCTAATATACTCTAATGTATATCTAGCTATATATTCAATAGTTTATTGCTTTTTGAGTACTGTATGTCCACCGGCACAGGCGGCCCAATCTCGCGAGGGTCAGTTTAGACTTATAGTATAATGTATATTATATTAAAAATATGTCATAAAATATAAATTTTAAAATGAAATTGACTTGCCTATTTCATAGTGTGTGTTCTCCTTTTATTCCTCTTTTGTTGGACTAATATTTTCCGAGACTTTGTACTCGACGGTACTAGTATACATATATACTACAAGTCTACATGATAAAGGCAAACTATTTACAATCGTCGATGCGTCTGCACGCGGCACTTCGAATCGAAAAATCTCCCACTCAAATCGCTTTATTCTTTAAAAAAATTCGCCAGCATGTTGAGTGCAGATGTCGTTATATTTTATGACATATTTTTGTTATATTGAGATTGGGCCGTTTACGTTTGTGGTATGTTTGGCTATCTGTATGTTGCTGCTTTTACAGTATAAGAATAAATCATGACTTAAGACCCAGACACACCGGACGCGATTCGACAACGCGACGCGATTTTTTAGTTTTGAAAGTTAATAAAACAGCCAATGAGGGCAAAATTTTGAAAGATATGTAGAACAAATAACTCAAAATGTTATAGCGCTTCGAAATATTTGTAAAATTTAAACTAGAATCAAAGTTATCGGTCAGTGAAAATCGGCGAAAAATCGCGTCGCGTTGTCGAATCGCGTCCGGTGCATGTATGGAGCTTTATTATTATTATTTAAAATTCTTTATACACGGTAGCTTATCAACCTATTTCTACTAAAAATATATAGAGTTTTCTGATAGTGATAAAGTTTCAAATAATTAAAAAGGTTGCTTTTCATAAGGCCGCGTAGAAATTTAAGCTAAGCAGTAGAACAACAATTTACTAAATTATAGCTAGTAAATACAGCAAATCGTCCTTAGACCTGTGTATTCACTATGAAATTCATATGGAACAATTTAAACAATTTGAATCGTATGGTGGAATAACACCTCTGAGTCTGGGAGTTAGGCCGTTTCGTCTAGGGATATCAGAAAAGTCAAATCTAAACATATCTCTTTTAGAAAGGAAGATCGGATTTCTGTCGAGGGGTGGCAATTTCCCAGTTGCTTATTTGCTCTTCGGCTCGCTTATAGTTTTTCCACGCGTTCTCTATATTTGCATTTCTGCAGGTAGTTAAGTGGTTTAATTGAACACCTTTTCAATCAAAGTTAAACAATTGAACATTTCTTGAAATTTATATCGGGCTAAAGATGTATATATTCCGTTGTATTTGTGAATTGTCGAAGTTAACTGTTTAGCTAAATACTTGCAATTTCAATTTGTTTAAGGTGTTCGTTGACGTTTATTTTTGTAGTTTTCACCGTGGTATTCAAATATATCGTCTGTGATTGACACTGCGTTCTGGCGATTTCAAAAAGCAGGAAAAAAATTAGGGAAGAAAAGGAAACTATAAAGTAGCGAAGAGATGAGCATGCTCACTTGCAAGTGAGTGTTTTAAACTGTATACCCTGAGGCTACCCAACGCAATTGCACATTTATGTCATGTTAATTTCAATTACATTGTCCCCGAAAAACGCCAACACAATATATTTTCTTATAAAGATACCCCGTTAATAAATTTTCTCGGCCCGCCTTTGGCCGTATTTCACACTTTCACTGTGAACATATGTAATTTAATATTTGACTTGTCACGTGCGTGTAAGATATGCACTGTATAGTAATTGTAAATGCTTTTCAGTTCACACCTCGGTCGGGATTTCGGACGATTGAGGGTAGAATGGGGTCTCATTGGGAGAGGGGTTAATACCAAGGGGGTTACTGTTTTTGCTGGCACGCATGCAGCTGCAAGATATGAAATGATATAATAAGAGATGAAATTGTAAGTATTTTGTAGTGAATAGTCAGAATATTAATTGGTGGGGTGGACGATGCATCTGAGTGTCACTATATTTACATTCTTGTGTGCCAGAGGATATTACCTTCGGAAAGAGTGTAGGGGGAGGGGGCACTCTTGAGTGTTAACTCAACAATCTGCCCATGGTGTTTGGTGTGGGCAAGGTTCAGGTTAATTTATTGTTTAAAACAATGTAAAAGTTACAGATACGCATGCGTAATATCGGGTCGGACGATAACGATCTGGTACGTTCCATCCTTGTTCCCAGGGCTTCTTGGCTGCCTGCGTTCTTATGGCAACGCAGGCAGCCGAGAAACCCTGGGAACGAGGATGGATACGTTCTTCACAGGCATTCGGATTCCAGTAGAACAAATATATATTGCAGGAACTACACACATATTGTTTCCCTTTGAAGTGGAAAACTATTGAAGTGATAAAAATTACTGGAAAACAGCTTGGAAAATCTTCTTCGAAGACTAACACGTGTTGTTGTAGCCGGCAGTTGCGAAATTTATGAGCATGTAAATTATGATGCAAATTATCATTTGCGCATGTGTAGAACTACGATAATCGCATGTATTTAGCAAGTCAGGAATTTCGCGTGACACCGGGTTTAATAACCCAGTTCAATACTGATAAAATAGTTAAAGTTCCAGACATTGTGCATTACCTATCTTTGTTTTGAAACTCTTGTGTGTATTCATGTCGTCCCCAGCCGCTGCTGAGCTGGCTCCTTGTTTCAGTTTAAATTTGAATTAACAGTCCGTATTTTGACAAAAACTCCCACGATTAACGTAGTATTGTCCGTTTGAAGTTTTTCTGATCGTTTTGGCATGTTATCTTGACATTGGACCGGTTTCAAAAGTTTTGGATTGGATTCGGATTGTCCACTGAATCCGATCTGATACATTGTCTTAATGCCTTCGCAAGCGTTCTAAATGATATAAAATTAGCGGTGTGTCGAGCGGTGAGCATTTATATTTTGCAGTAATTCTAGTTATATTATATAAATTATATGGTTTTCGAGCACTTGTATGTATCAGGACCCTCTAGCATAGGTAAATTGGGCAACCACACCCTGTGTATAAACGACATGAATTATTATTTCCCAATTTTTTTTTCATGTTACGCAGTGTAGGCAGGCTGAAGACTTTGGAGAAGGGGACTAAAGTGCAAAACATCAAAGGCACTATAGTTCTTGCTCTTCATTAGGTCATGTTTCTTGGAAACAATTTTATCGGGCTTATGTTAAGATATGGCCAGACAAGTGTACCATCCACGGTTGTGGCAGAAAAACTTGCGGTGGAGCCCATGTAAAGATCGGACGGAAACAAGGGATATGGATTATACCCATGTGTGCGAAACACAACAACCATACCAATACAAAGTGGATGGGCGTTAACAAAGGCATCACTGCAGTGTACGTTGAGAAGAAAGACACAAGTGGACCTGCCGGTGTTTGTTCTTAATTTTACAAGGTCTATAATTGGTGTCTCAAATTTCTTTCTAAACTCCACTCTAGTTCACTTACTTCGGTCGCAATCTTCGGGGCTAAGCTAGTGCAAATTAGTTTTGGCAATTATACAAGTATGAGTAAAAAATCAAAATACCCTTATAAATCTACTATTTTGTGGAGACAAATGTTTGGCTGAAAAGACGGAGGAATACGCATTGATTATTATATATTGATCATGAAAAAACAAATACATTATTTACCGTCAAGGTCGGCCCGTACATATATATATATATATATATATATACCGGGTGGCCCCCAAAAAAGTACTCCTGTTTGATTCGTAATAACATCTAAACAAGTATAGCTTTTAAAGAGAAATAACTTGTATCAAATAGAGGAAGGACTAACTTAGACTTTGATATATTACAGTTGTATTTCACTTAAAAATTCACGGAGATATTAATCTTTAAATTCGGGAGGATATTTCTGGATGTGTCTGAAATATGCAAAAATCGGCGTATCAAATATTAATCAAGATTTGCCCGACGGAAACATGCACTATTACCAGTAAATAAATGACACTTGACAAATTGTTTATTATGAAACAAAGTATTATTATATCTACAAAATACAAGCAAGATTCATTCGTCCGAAATTCGCGTGTGTTCCCAGCACGAATACGTTTCCTTATTCATGAGACCACTGCATCGCGAAGGATCGTCATTGGATCGTTCGTAGTTCTGAATTAGGGCATGCTGTCACAACGGAATTGTGAAGCTCTTCTAACTTCTGCAACGTTCTGAAGTCTTGTTAAGAACACCCAAACTCTTTTGCCGTTTCTTAATCTTGGCAAGTTCATGGAGTAAACTGAGAATTATATGAAACACAATCAAACCATACAACTCCATAAGACATAACAATTAAGCAACTCCACAGAGACATGCAACATTTTTGGAACAAAACGTAACAAAATAGTAGCGTTGATACGGTGATGTGTATTTGCAAAAAGCAATATTATTTCCTTCAATAAAGAATATTCATCCTGCTCTAACCGAGAAATAATCTACTCAGTCTGTTTGAACCCATTAAAAACATAAAAAAATTAGGCTATTTAAGAATACGAAAAATTTAAGCGCCTGCCTTCCATGGTCAGTCTTTCATGTACATTTAAGTTTGCAAAGACTTAATATTAAATACTTGCATAATTTCGAACGTTTATATTTCAGGAAACAATGAGCTAAGACTTACATGTAAGATGTCTAAATCTACGCCATATCCCTTACAAACCTTAACGATAATTCGCTGAAATACAAGTTAGCCTAATATGTCATTAAACAAACAAACGCTGGAGTTAATATTTGATATGCCGATTTTCGCTAATTTTAGACACATTCCAAAATATGCTCCCATTTTTAACATTAATATATCCGTGAATTTTTAAGTTAAATACAACTGTAATATATCAAAATCTAAGTTAGTCCTTCCTCTATTTAATGCAAGTTATTTCTCTTTAAAAACTTTACTTGTTTAGAAGTTATTACGAATCAAACAGGAGTACTTTTTTTTGGGCCACCCGGTATAGTGTCGAGAAAATCTTGAACTTCAACTTTTGAGCCAAACATAGCAATACCACAATATATGCATATTTTATGACGCCTTTAATTTTCAGGATGTTAACGTCGTGGCACTAGGTTTTTAATCGGTACATTAATTCAAATCCAACCTCTATGCAGTGTGGTGTCTTCTTCAGGGGTGATCTTAAGTCTGTTTATTTTTTAATGATTCTTTAGTGGTGGGGGAAAGCTGCCAAAGGGCCCATTTTCCTTGCCCTCCTCCGGGGAGAGTATGCGATCGCCGAAGGTGTAAGCTGAGTGCCCACTCCAGAATTTTTTTTTTAAATTTGGGTGTTTGAAATAGTACTTCTTGTTGAACTAATCTCAGCTTCTTAAAACAAAATTTTAATAGTGGAATTTGTAATAACTTGCATGCTAAACATTAAACACAACTGATAAGTTTAAGTATGTTGACTAAAAAAATATTGTTTTTTAAACTTCTTTTGAATGTTAAACTCATTTACTCAATACAGATCATAAGGCCCTGGCTTTAGGGCAATAGGCCATTTGTTCTTCAGTGGTTGGGCAGAGGAAGGGGCTCAGTGGGGCAAATGCCCCACCAGTCCATGGTATTAAAAAATGCCTTGTATTAAGTTGCAACGTAGCTTCAAGTGATGGCACACGCATAAAAAAATATCAAAAGGCTATTTCAACTTCAAACACAAGGAAATCAGCCATATAGAAGAATATGTGAATGAAATTAAACATGCGATTGATGAGTGGGATTCATTATCAGTAATTACAATCTTTATTGGCAAAATGTTCCTCGGAATAAACAAAAATCATCAACCTGCTTTGAATAGAGATGATGGTAATTATCTTCTACAAAAGTATATACACCTTATTGGCAAATGACGTCATCCCTCGAATGTGTAAGAGGTCCCCTTCCGATTTCAGGTCATTCCTGATGAAGACAGTAGAATGGAGTGTCGAAACGTAGGGTTATGGATGCAATTCGACTGGTCTTTGAATTCATGTCTTTTACATGACTGATATGAAACGTGCATGCATGGTTACATTACGGGTGAATTAACAAAAAAAGAATTAGGCAATTGTAGTTATGAAATTTACTGTACATTACTACGCATGATAGCACTTACGGTGTTTTCGCATAAATGGAAAAAAGGAGTACGACACTCTCCTTCTTAATTCTGTCTCGCCATAAGAACGATGAGTGAAATATTCATCTTTATAAACACAGAGATTAAAAATCAACATGGCGACGTCAGGTGTTTCTTCGATCAGTTTTGACATAATACAGTCAGCGCCAAAATGCGAGTCTTCGAATAGCTAAAATAAATACCAAAAAAGTATTTTTTTACATGAATAACTGGCTCAGACCGCACGTGCATTTGCAAGTAACAGGCACAATTCCTTCACAATTTTCGCAAGAATAGAACTGAATCATTTAGCAAACGTTAAAATATTGTGTAATCAATAAAACATTTGTTTGTGCGATGTTACTCTGAGTGTATATCCACACCGGGCAAGCTTGAAAAATATGCCTGGCCACGGCGGGATCCCGCCGTGGCCAGGCATATTTTTCAAGCTTTCCCGGTGTGGATATACACTCAGAGTAACATCGCACAAACATCTTATTCACCTGAGTACATTACACCAGCACAGCAGATTTCACAATAAAACATTTGTTTTCTAACATTTTACCTCTTGAAGTATATCAATTTTGTTGTTCTTTGTACAAAACTTTATAATTTCTTTGATAGAAGGCTCGCCAGTTTTGAAATAACCGTATGCAGAATCCAAGATGTTGAGTCTCGCCGTCTTCTTATCACTTTTCATTTGTGCGTTATAATTCTCCAACAAACATCTGAGAATATCCGCAAAACCGGTCTGTGCTGCGTAACCAGCTGCAGTGATGTTTACTTCGTCTGTAAAATCAATCATTTCTAGGAACTCTTTTTTATTCAGCAAGTGTTTCACTGCCTCAAGCTTCCCAGAAAGTACGGCATAGTGAATCGCTGTTTGATCATCTGGACTATATCGGAAGAATGATATATCTTATATAGTAAAGCAAATTGCACAATTGAGCGAGTTAGTGTGACTCGTACCTTTAATTTTGTGTCAAAGTTCCTTGTCACGAGAAATCTTAAACTAAATACCTGATAACAACAACTAAATTCAAACAATCCTTACGTTCTTTGCAAAGGATTTGCTCCTTTTTGTAAGAAAAACTCCATTAAATCTATATTTCCTTTCCTAGCAGCTTCTAAGAACGGTTGATGTTGGTGGTCCCCACTTAAGAGACGCATTACTGCTTCGGGTTCCCTTTTCTTCCAACTATGAAGACTTATCTTCAGAACCTAATTATAATGGTGGAGGATTAATTAACAAATATAAAACATTTTCCGTGATGATATACAGTTTTATAAAATAGCCTTTTAAAAACACGGGCGTTGATTGGTCAAAAGCTCAAAAAACCCGTGTTTCTATAACTCGATAGAAACACGGGGAATTTTCACGCGGGTTGCGTGGATTGTGCGGGAGTTTAAACAAAATACAAACAATATTTAATATTGAAAAAAAGTTGGAAAACGTCCGAAAACGCCGAAGAACCGTCACAAAAAAGGCAACGCTTTGCTAACTTAGAAAGCGAAAACCTAAAGCACAAAGTGTAATGCAGCATACGTTGTATCTGTTTGACTGTTTGCCAAGGTAAGATATTTTAATTTTACTTTGTATTTAAACTAAATATTTCCTGACCACATTTTTAATCATATTTACTATCGTTTTTTAAATCATGTTTAAACGTTTACTAACTATTTAAAACAGTGCTTTCTTGCATGCAAGTATGTACGTTGTTGGGTGAATTTTATACTTAATTTAGTATAGTAAGCCTATTAAGTCTGTTTTTTTAATAAGTGCTATCTGTTGTTTTGACAGCGATATACTTGTTTACTTGGGTATGCTTTAGTTATTCTTTACACGAAAGTATATGAAGATAGCCGAATTAATACTTTGAATGAATGTAATTAAAATCAATAAATCGATCTTTTTTATTGTTTTTAAAGGCTCGTGTTCCCACGCAATTTCTCGTTTCTCCCAAACTTCCACGCACGCTTCTACAGGGTGTCCCAAAAAAAAAGTGACACTATAGAAATTATCTCATTGTTCATTTAACTTAAGCCGCTCTTAAACGCGCGTGATTACACGCCTGGGAATTTAATGAACTTGTATTTACATTTAAGCATTTTAAAACGTTTTCGTTTTGTCCAAAAATTTTAACGCCCGAGTCAAGCAAAACGATTACACTAATAAACGGTTTGCTTTTTTATTTTAAATTGCAGAAGTTTATGCACCTGTGGGATCAACTTAGTGCTAGGGCATTCAAATTGTAAAAATAGGATAATTTCTATAGTGTCACTTTTTTTGGGACACCCTGTATAACTCAATACAAACACGGAAAATGTTGTCTATTTCTTAAAAATCAACACGTGTGGAAATAGGGAAATTGGGAAGTTTCCACGAGTATTGATATAACTATATATATATATATATATATATATATATATCAATATGGAAAAAATGTTTTATATTTGTTTTATAATATAACACAAAGAAGTATAAAGAAAGAAATTTTCCGACGTTTCCGTGTTGACATTGAGTTATATCAACACGGCTCTTAGCCAATCAGCGTTCAGAATTTACAAATGCTATATTGTAATAGAAT